TCTCTGGCTTGTCCAAGGGCTCCAGCTTCCCCAGATGGGACACCAGTGTAGCCTTGCAGGTGCTGTGTTTCCAGCTGAACTTCCTTTTCCCCTTCATCTTCAACAGGTTAGTTCCTAGACGTCCTCCTAGAATTTGACTAGACAGGTCTCCTGAGGTTCCCACTGACTTGCTACTCTACGCAAGTGGCCACACCTTCCTCTGCGCCCTGGGCAATCAGTACTCACCACTGCAGTCCTTCCCTTCTTCTCCGCCCCCCCTTCCTTCACTCCTTCACCATTTAATTCAGGCATCTGACCATGTTCTTGTCACACCAGGGCAGTGGCAAAACAAGGAGGAGTAAGAGCAGACCCAGACTCTCACCCTCAAGGAGCTCGAAGTCCCGTGGTGGTAGCATGAATCCATCAAACAATGAAGATGAAAAACACCCAAAGAAGTCAAATCCATTCCTTAAAGAAGTGAAGATTTTGTCCATGATTTTAAAAGTCTACACATAATAAATGCTGGCGAGGATGTGGAGAGAAGGGAACCCTTCTACACTGTTTTGTTGTTTAGTCGCTAAGTCTTTGTGACTCTGTGAACTGTAGCCCACAAGGCTCCTCTGTCCGTGGGAGTTCCCAGGCAAGAAAACTGGAGTGGGTTGACATTTCCTTCTCCCGGGGTATCTTCCTGACCCAAGGATAGAACCCACGTCTCCTGCATTGCAGGTGGATTCTTGACCACTGAACCACCAGGGAATGGAATGTAAATTGGTGCAGCCACTGTGGAAAACAGTATGGACGTTCCCTAAAAAACTAAAAAAATAGAGTTGCCATATCATCCAGCAACCCCAATCCTGGGCATATATCCAGAAAAGATGAAACTTCTCTCTCTAAAAGATACACGCACACCAGTGTTCATAGCAGCACAATAGCCAAGACTTGGGAGCAACCTAAATGTCCATTAACAGATGAATGGATAAAGAAGATGTGGTACATATATACAGCAGATTATTATTCAGCCATTAAAAAAAAATGAAATAATGCCATTTGCAGCAGCATTATCATGTGACTTACTAAATGAAGTAAGTCAGGTAGAGAAAGACAAATATGTGGTATCACTTATATGTGGAATCTAAAAATAATGCAGATGAATTTATTTATAAAACAGAAACAGACTCACAGACATGAAAAACAAACTTTGTTACAAAAGGGGAAGGGAGCAGTGGATAAATTAGGAATATGGGATTAACAAATGCATATAAAATATTTAAAGAATAAAGATTTACTATATAGCACAGGGAACTGTATTCAATGTTTTGTAATAACCTATAGTGGAAAAGAATCTGAAAAAATATGTATGTTAGCTGAATTACTTTGCTGTAACCTGAAATTAACAAAATATTGTGAATCAACTATACTTCAATTTAAAATTGTTTATTAGAAAAGATTTTCTTCATGATTTTAAAAAATAATAAAAGGTTGAGGAAAAGGATACATTAAAATTCGTCTAGTCTCAGATCTAATATTTCTTGTTAGTTAAGCCCTGGGGTTTTAGGACTTTCTTCATGTGTAATGTTAGGGACAGGAAATAATTGATCAGGCATTGGGCAGCTTCCTTGATCACAGCTTTAGGGCTACTGAGAGAGTGGTGCTGTGGCCTCAGGTTCTGGGGGAATAAGTCAGAGAAGAGATCCCAGCTTGAGATCTCTACAGGGTTTGCATTCAGAGGGCAGACCGCCCCTCCCTCAGGGGAGACGAGCAGCTTTACTAGGGTCCACAGCTTTCCTCTGCAGTGCTGATCCCTGTTTGGAATTCTGCAGTTGCCTTACCCTTTGATGGTCATCTCTTTCCAGCAGGGCCATAAACTCCATTAGAGTGGGTGATGTGCCCATCTAATTTTTTCTATAACAACTTTATTGAGATATCATTCACATACCATAACATTCACCCTTTTGAAGTACAAATTCAGTTGCTTTTAATGTATTCACAGAGTTGTGCAAACCATTGACACTATCTAATTTAAGAACACTTTCATTATTCCTAAAAGAACCCTCATATCCATTAGTAGGTTCCCTCTGCTGTTAACTTTCCCACGTGCCCCCAGCTTCCTGCAATCACTTATCTACTTTCTGTTTATACGGATTTGTTACCAGAAGGGGACCCCTTCCAGGGCTGAAGAGTGGGCTCTTGTCTAACACTCGGAAGCAGATTGTCCGAGGAGACACATGTCCTTACAAAGCAAGAGACTTTATTGGGAAGGGGCGCCCAGGCAGAGAACAGTGGGATGAGGGGACCCAGGAGGGGGTTCCCTCCTCCTGGGCAGAGGGTTACTCTGCCACATGGCTCACAGTCTCAGTTATTGTGGTCATGGCATTAGCTTACCAGGTTGTCTGTGGTCAGTCATCTTGCTCATGCCCACTTTTGGTCTGACTAGGGTCCTTCCTGGTGGCGCCAGGATCTCTCTGCCAAGGGAGGGTTTCTGGGAGGTTAGCAGAACATACTATGGCTTAGTGACTCATTTCTCCTTTCGGCCCTTCGCAAATTTTCCTGGTTAGTTTTCAGTGGCAGCCCTGTCTTCCTTATGGGGACCTTCCTGTTGTGAGACGACTCATGCAAGTGGTTATTACCATGCCTGACCAAGGCAGACAGTTTTGGTCTACAGTTCCCTAATATTTTCCTGTGCTGCACATTCCATATAAAGAGAGTCCTATGATATGTGGCCTTTTATGACTGGATTTTTTTTCACTTAACATAAAGTTCTCAAGGTTCATCCAAGTTGTAACACGTATCAGTATTTCATTCCTTTCTGTTGAACAATAATATTCCATGGGATGGGTATATCATATATTTCCATTCATCAGTTGGTGGACACTTGGGTTGTTTTCATTTTGGGGCTATTATGAATAACGCTGCTATGAACGTTCCAGTACCAGTTTCTGTGTGGTCATCTGTTTCCATTTCTGTTGAGTATACACCAACGATTGGAATTGCTAGGTCATGCGGTAACTCTTTTACGTTTTGAGGAGCTGCCAAATCATTTTCCACAGTGGCTGCACCATTTTTCTTTCCCACCAGCAGTGTATGAGGGTTCCCGTTTGTTCACATTCTCACCAACATGTGTTTATTTTCCATTTTTGTTTTTATAATAGCCATTCTAATAGATGTGAAGTGGTATCTGATTGTGGTTTTGCTTTGCATTTTCCTAAAGATTAGTAATGTTGAGCATCTTTTTGTGTGCTTATTGACAATTTCTATACCTTCTTTGAAGAAATATCTGTTCAATCATTTGCCCTTTTTAAAATTGGGTTGTTGGTCTTTTTATTGATGAGTTGTAAGAGTCCTTTGTATATTCTGAATTAGAGTCTCTTACTGATCTATGATTTCCAAATATTTTCTCCCATCCTGTGGGTTATCTTTTCATCTTCTTGATGGTGTCTTTTGAAAGTTTTAAATTTTGAAGTCTAACTTATGCAGTTTTTTCATTTTTTTTTGGTTCCTTCTGTTTTGTGTGTCGTATCAAAGAAACCACTGCCTAACCTAATCATAAAGATTTGCTCCTGTTTGTTTTTTTTAAAGAGTTTTATAGTTTTAATCTTACATTCATGTCTGTGTCTATCTCATTACTGATTATACCCCCTCTGCCTAGAATAATGCCTGATATATAGAAGTTACTTGATACTTATTGAGTGAAATGAATGAATTGGTATCTCTTAAATGAGTGAATGAACAGATATCTCCTTGTCCCAAAGCTATTCACAGCCCCAGGGTTAAAAGAGGGTGTTAGACAGGGGAGGGTCAGCGGTCTGTTTTAATCTCATCCCCCAGTTAACCTGCCCTTAGTGAGTGCTCACAGTTCCTTTTCTGCAGTTTTCTTCTTTCTGTTTTTCCTGGATTTTTGCTTCTTTTTTGTTCCCCCTTTTGACAAAATGTTGCTAAGACGTTTCCTAAGTAAACTGTGTCTGGTCTGCTTGCTTAAATGTATGGTAGAGGTATAAGAAAATTTTTTCATTCATCAAAATCTTGGGTGAGATAATTCTCTTGTTACATTTACTTGTGTTAGACTGATAAATTCAGATGACACAGTAGTGTATAAATCACGAAGGAAGAGTCACCTCCTCAGGGGACATATGATGGCTAGAACTTACCTTTAGAAAAAGTGTGTATATAGAGAAAGAAAAGGTAAGATAACAACTAATGAATCTGGGTGAAGGCTATTTGGAGTTCTCTGTACTCTGGTTTTTATTTTATTAGGCTGGGCCAGGTCTGAGTTGTGGCACTCGGGGTCTCTGATCTTCATTGTGTCATGCAGGATGTTGTAGTTGTGGCCTATGAGATCTTTAGTTGTGGCATATGAACTCTTAGTTGTGGCGTGTGAAGTCTTAGTTGTGGCGTGTGGGATCTAGTTCCCTGACCAGGGATTGAACCTGGCCCCCCTGCATTGGGAGCGTGGAGTCTTAACCACTGGACCACCAGGGAAGTCCTTGTGCTCAAAATTAACAATTTTTCTTACACTGAATTTTCTTCAAAACAGTGTTTCTCACAATCCCACCCATAGAGGAAATTAAGCTGAGGACCCTGAGAGGCTGCTGGGTACTTGGGGCTTTACATCCATTTTTCATTTTATCCCCAGCTGTTGGAAAGGAAGCCAAGGTGAAGGTGGGCTGACCGAGGTCATACAACCTGCTTGAGTGGAAAAACCCGAATTTGGATTTGAGACTCCCAGCTTAAGTCCTCCTATGTGTTTTATGGCCTGTGCATCTCAGGCAGTCAGCCTTTTGCTGGGAATGACCAGGCTATTACCCTTGCCTCTGTCTTAATGTTCTTGACGCTTCACGAGCCTGTGCTCAGCAAGGATGGGAGGGAGACGGCCCAAGAGTTTCTAGAACAGAGCGACTGCCATGTGGGACTTGAAGGAAAGTGAAGAGGGAATGGAGGGAATCGATGCTCCCTCACCAGCCAGCAGGTGGGCCCTGAGGCTCCCGGGAGGCAGCCCTGACCCCCCTCTGCCCTGCCTGTTCCAGGAGCTGCAGCTGCCCACCTTCCGAGCCCACTCCCCGCTCCTGAAGAGCCGCCGGTCCTTCGTCGACGCCTTGGCCCTGCTGAGCAGCCACTGCCAGCTCTGCCCCGCTGCCCGGCACCTGGCTGTCTACCTGTTGGACCACTTCCTGGATCGCTATGACATCACCACCTCCAAGCAGCTCTACACCGTGGCGGTCTCCTGCCTCCTGCTCGCAAGTACGCGGAACCCGCTTCCTCCCCTGTGCCGCGCCCTCCCGCTCCGTGAGCCCACGTGCTCCCAAATTGTTCTACATTTCCGTGGTCCTTATGCGTCTTCTGTATTCATCTTTAGCTGAATGCGAAGAAGTGGAGCTGCTCAGTCGTGTCCAGCTCTTTGCGACCCCTCCTCCATCCGTGGGATTTCCCAGGCAAGAATACGGCGTGGGTTGCCATTTCCTTCTCCAGGAGATCTTCCTGGCCTAGGGATCAAACCTGGGTCTCCCGCACTACAGGCAGACTCTTTACCATCTGAGCCACCAGGGAAACATTTAAAATGTACCAGGCTATAAGGCATAAGGATTTTAGCAACTTGATCTTAAAAGCATCCACATAATGACTCTAGAAGACAGATGGTTGAGTACCTGCATTTCACAGAGGCACAGAGAGGTTAAGAAATTTGCCTTGGGTCTATAGCAGATAGGATTTGAGCCCAGAAAGGCACGATTCTGGCATCTTAACCCCATCTGGTGTCTTAACCCCATGTTACCTCCTTCTGACATAGGGCCTCTGAATGTGCTAGGTGGGTGGGTGGGGAACTCTAGCAACCACTGCCCTTAGACGCGTTTAGAAATGTGACTGCTTGTGTGGGGCCCAAGCAGGACCCTTCATATATTTGTCAGGCCTGGGCACAGGCCTCTTTCAATGAGGCCTCACTAAAACACAGTGTGGCTTTGACCATCTGTCTGTCTGCCTAGGTAGGAAATGAACATGCTCCTGGTCTGGTTCAAACACAGTCTGCCATACCATGCTGCCACTTTAAAATCACCCCCTGGTTTACCGACAGTCTTAAAAGCTCCAGCCATCAGGGTCCTGCCTCTCTGACCTCATGCCCTTCTCCCCTTCCATCCCTGGATTCCAGCCAGTTCCCCTGCTTCCCTGTCACAGAGCTTTGCATATGCTGTTCCCCTTGCCCAGAGCGCTTCCCATTCTCTTCCCCTGCCCATCTGGTCTTGGTTAGACAGCACTCAGGTCCCACGCTTGCATCCCCAAGAAAGCCTCCACCACTGCCTGCAGAGTGAGTGGAGCATATGTAAAGTGTCTCTGATGTACAGTTCCATAGCATCGTGGATTTTTAATTAAAACCCACCTCCCCCACTAAGCAGGCTTCCCTGACGGCTCAGCTGCAAAGAATCCACCTGCAGTGCAGGAGACGCGGGAGATTCCAGAGATGCTGGTTCAGTTCCTGGGTCGGGAAGGTCCCTTGGAGAAGGGAATGGCTACCTACTACAGTATTCTTGCCTGGAGAATCCCATGGACAGAGGAACCTGCAGCCTACAGTCCATGAGGTCGAAGTCCAGCCTGCAGGCTACAGTCCAAGAGTCGGACAGGACTGAGTGACTAAGCAGCACATGCCCCTAAGCAGTGAGTTTCAGAGGGAAAAGGAGCACATAATGAGGCCTCAGGATATAGTATTTGTGGGCTAAAGGAAATGAATGGAGCCAAGGGTTCCTTTAGAGTGGGGCGTCTGCACTCCTCCAAGTTGCCCTTAATGCAGAGGAGTGGATACCCCAAAGTGACCAGCTGCAGTCACATTTCCTTGATATCTAATCAGATATTGCCTTTGTCGCTACATTATTGTCCTATTTTATTACGGGGGGCCCTTGCCCAATCTTTTTGCTTCCCACTGATGCTTCAAGAAGATCATGCCCATTTTCTCCAGTGGCTTTGTCTATCCCTGGCACACTGCTATGAACCCTTCATCACCATCACCCAGTTCCAAACACATGGCATTAGAGTTTTTAACATTCTGCCTTGTTTTCCACCCTGGCACCTGCCACCTGCTGTTATCTATAATCCCTTTGCCAGCTTTGGTTTTACAGCCTTCTGATTTGTAATTTTCTTTACCTTGGGCCAGCTGGCTTTCCCCTGTGATATAGGGGAGCCCGGTTTGCTGGGAGACTGGCCTGCTTGCTAACATCAAAGTCCTGCTTGCTAACTTCAAACATCAGCTCGCAGCTCTCTTTGGTCTTGGGAGGAGCTGTGGGGCTGGCGAGACGTCCCTGTTAGCAGAAGGCAGGAAGGGCGTTGCATTTCGGGGGACCCTCGGGGAGTCTGTGCCGTGGCCTCTGGCTTGCTGCTGTCTGTGATCTGTGGGCTGCTTCGAGGCCCCTGGGGTGGGGGACTTGGATTTCCATGGGGCCACTGAGGCTCCGGCGTCTTTCTGGGGAGCTGGGGTGGGAGGTGTGCACTGGGGACTTCTTTGTGCCGTGGCTGCCATGGCAGAGGGAGGGGGCCTTTCAGACAGAGAGGCGGACCCCCCCACACACCCACATGTCTGAGGGCGGCAGCCAGCCTTGAGTGGCAGGAACGGATTTTTCAGGACACCTGCCATATGCTCAGAGGCCCCAGGAAAGAAAAGTTTCCATGACAGCCTGAAATCCTATTCATTCCTCCTTCGCCTCTCCCCAGGCCAACTGTCAGCCACAAGGGAGGTCACCTTGCTCAGGAGGTTCTGAGTTCTGCTAATTTGTTGCAAATAATTAATTCCCAGATAAGAAGGTGACAGTTCTTGGGTTTTTGCAGCTGCTTCCAGGTAAGGGTCTTGCATAGATGAAACCTTCTCACCCACACGCAGTTTCTCTGCTCCCATAAAACGAGCTGGTCAAGGACCCATGTCTCCAGACTGTGGAAGGAGGAAGAAAAGCAAGAGTTTGTGGGCTGTTCCATGGCGGACCAGTGGCAGAGCCGCCCTTTGCCTCTCTATGATCAAGTTTTATTTATTTTTCATCCCTTGTATTGCTAAGTAGATTCTTAACCACTGGACCACCAGGGAAGTCCCTGTATGACCAAGTTAACTTCACTTCCTTCCTTAACAGAGGAGAGACTCCTGTTGTTCTTCAGTTGCTAAGTTGTGTCCAACTCGTTTGTGACCCCATAGACTAGCCCACCAGTCTCCTTTGTCCATGGGATTTCCCAGGTAAGCATACTGGAGTGGGGTGCCATTTCCTCCTTCAGGGAATCTTCCTGACGCAGGGATCAAACTCATGTCTCCTGCCTTGGCAGGCAGATTCTTTACCACTGAGCCACCAGGATAGCCTGGAGAGACTCCTTCTGTAAGTATCATCTAGGTATAAGTGTACCATAAATTGAATAGAGCCACTGTCTTCTGTAGTCTTCCATCTTATATAGCACCCCTCCCCAGCTGTCCTTTGGTTGTTGTTGTTGTTTAATTGACAACACAGAAACCCCACCACCTGCAGGTGAGTTGGCTTTGACGGTGCCACATAATCATCGTCCTAATGGGGTGGCTACATTGTTTACTGGTCCCTTTCTCCACGCCCAGCCCTATGCCAGCCGCTTCATACACACATCACTTGGAAGCTTCGCAACCAGCCCATGTAGTCGTGCTGTCATCTGCCCATTCTGTAGGTTCAGAGAGGCCCAAAGTCACACAGTTTGGAATTTTGCTTTATTTTTTTAAATTGAGGTAGAATTCATATCACAACATAGAATCTACCATTTTAACCGCTGTAAAGTGTGCGGTTCTGCGGCATTTAGTTCACATACTGCTGTTGCACAGCCATCAGCTCTCTCTGGTTCCAGAACATGTCCATCACCCCGAAAGGTGCCCATGTACCCCGTGAAGCAGTCAGTTTCTATTCCTTCCCATCCCCAGCCCCTGGGAACCACCAGTCCACTTTCTGTCTGTATGGAGTTGCCTATTCTGGATATTGCATATGGAAAGGAATCATACAATATGTGACCTTTTTATGTCTGGTTTCTTTTACTTTAAGTTTTTAAGATTCATCCATGTTGTAGCATGTAGCAGTACTTAGTACCTCATTCCTTGTTATGGCTGTATGGATACATACAGCCTTGTATGGATAGACCACAATTTGTTTATCCATTCACATATTGATGGAGATTTGGGTGGTTTGCACCTTTTGGCTGCTAGGATTAGTGCTGCTGTGAACATTTGAGTACCAATTTTGTTTGAACATTTATTTTCAATTCTTTTGGGTATCAACGTCATAGTGGAATTGCTGCCCATATGTGGTTATTCTGTGTTGAACTTTTTGAAGGAAACTTGGAGTTTTGCCTTTGCCTGGTTATTGCCGTTCAGAGATGAATATGTGCTGAGTCCTTATCCCCAGGATATGGACCAGGGAAGGAGAGAAAGGAGAGAGGGAGGGAAAGAAAACCAGAAAGGCAGGAGGTATGACCGGTGGCATTTTGCTGGGATGGCAAGGCCTTATATGTAGTATAAGATCTTACAATGATGATATAAAAAGTATGAGATGCAGTAAGTCTCCGACATATGAATGAGTTCCATTTTGAGAGTGCATTCATAAGTCCAACTTGTTCGTAAGTCCAACAAAGTTAGCCTGGGTACCTGACTAACACAATCTGCTATGCAGTACTCTACTATAATAAGTTTGTAATACTTTTCATACAAACAACACATAAAAACAAAAGCAAAAAATAAAACATTTTTAATCTTGCAGTACAGTACCTTGAAAAGTACAGTAGTACAGTACAACACTGGCAGACAGGGGCTGGTATCGATTGAACAGGTAAGCAGTGTTACTCACTGCAGGAGGGAGAGGAGGTGGGAGACGGCAGAGCTGAAGGATCAGTAGCAATAGGAGACAGAGAGCAAGCTGCAGTTTCACTTACTCCTGACATTGACGGAACAAACATTTGCATCTTTGAATGTTCGAAACTTGAAGGTTCATATGTAGGAGACTTTATACATATATATATATATTTATGTATATACATATATATATTTATGTTTTTTTTTACTGTATATTTTTATTGTTTAAAAGATTCCAAAAGGAACAGAAGCACCTAGTGTAAAAAAATTAGTTTCTCCCCGAATGCATAGTCCAATTCCCAAAGTTTGGGGTGTAGCGTTCCAGATCTAGATGTACTTATGTATTTTCATAATTGAGAAAGTAAACCTATTTTCATTTCTCATAGGTTAACAGCTGTATAAACTGCCCAGTAAACAAAAT